GCTCGTAGAAACTATTAATGATGACTCCAAAGCTTGTCCGCTCTGATTCGAAAGCTTCATTCAGCATCTTTCTCCGTTCACTCCCCACTTCTTCTTTCACAAAATCTGGAAGCTGCATCTTTGTCATCTTTATCTGGTCCGGAAGGCCGGGCACATCAAAGACTTCAAAATCAGTTGCTATCTTTTTGTGGGGTACATAGCGTTTTACGCTATCAAAGGCAGAAATGGAGAAGCAGCTTGTGCCATGAAAAACCAGCCTTGGAATCCCAAACTTTCTAGCAACATCTGTAGCCCATGGAAACATCATGTCAGCCACAAGGCAATCAGGGCGGAGTTCTTCAAGGAGCTGTTCAAGTGGTTGTTGGAAAAGGTTGGTAGCCTTGAGAAACTTGGATTGCATTTCTTGTGAAGGGAGGGAACTCACATTCTCGCATCCTTCAGGTAGCCCAACCTCAGCGGAAGGAAATTTGATTATGTAAGTACTGATTTCAAAGCCTGATTCCCTATCTCTTTGAATTGTTTTAGCAAAGAGATGAGCATTGAGTGGAGTGGTAGCAATTGTCACCTTTACTCCATGCCTTGCAAATAGTCTGGCCATGTCCACTGTCGGGATCAAGTGACCATGGGCAAGTTGTGGCATGAATACGATATGAAGCTGACGTGATTTTGAGGCCATCTAGCCTTGTGATTAGGACTAGAAGAGGTTAAGTGAAAGATGTGTAAGAAGAATAACAGTGGAAGAAACAGAGGTAAATTGATTGGCAAACAATTTAGAAGTTGAGCTTCTTGTTATATACAAATGCAAAATGATGGAAAGACAATAGAAAGTTAAATTCAAACAGCGTAGGTGCTTGAAGCAAAAGAAATGTGTTGATAAATGAGATGGTAAACTTCCTGGAAAGTATGTTAGAATTTGTGTGCTTGGACTGCAAGTATACTTTATAAACTGAATATGTGGAAAGTTCGTAGCAGGGTTAATTCAAACCACGTGCGTAGACCAGAGCTAATTGTCATCATTTTATTGGACTTATTTGTCTATATATGTGGAAAAAATTGTTTTGTGTTAGGCATCTTTGATCTAGCAAACATTAGGAGTACAGCTTCAAGTCCACATACCGTGTACCAACTCATTTGTTTTGCTTGGTTAGCAAGGAGTCCTATA